GAAGGAAACACACCAAAATATAAATAGCGGTTCTTTTTAGATGGTAACTTTTTCCAAATTTTCTATGATAAAACTAATTACTTTTATTAACAAAAAAAAACCTAGTAAATACTATATTTAAAGGACAAAGACAGAATTTTTAGATGGTTGCTGAGATGCACCCTCTGCGTGAACCAGGGACAAGGGCTCAAGTTGGTGCCTAGCAGGGCAACAGGGTGGTTGACTCCTCCTCACTATCTCAAGATGAGAGAAAATGACTGGAGAGTCAATTTGGGTTGACTTGAGGGATGAACCAAGGTTAAGGTTGTGAGCTGAGGAACTGGCAACTTTGTTTGGTTGTGAAGGTCAGAAGACTTGAACTATAAAGGAAAGACTTGAACTAGAAAGGGAAAATTCGGGGGTGGGAGTGGGAACAACAAGGGAACAACAAGTTCATCAGTTTTTCCCCAAACTCAGATGTTTGGAGAAAAAGTAAGAAAAACTTGAAATGTACTTTCAAATTCATTAAGAGATATGCAGGGGGAGAAAGAGAAAGCAGACGTGTTTTAAGTTTGGTTTTAACCCCCTGTGACTCCACAGGAAGGAGTTTCCAAATTGACTCAGTGTGGGGGCACTGGAATCAGGGTTAGGACACAGAGAGCATCCATAGAGGAAGTGTTACCCCTGCATGGGCTGCAAGGTTCCAAATAAGAGACGCTTATAAATCAGCTGTCCACTCCCTGTCTCCCACTGTCAAAGAAGGGACAGTTTGATTCTGATAAGAATTCTTGGTGAAGAGCTGATTGCTAACCCTTCTAAATTTGGAAAAAAAAATTTATATATGAAACAAATATCTTCAAAGATGCTTCTCCAAACTTCCTCATGACATAATTCCCTCAGAAGGATCCCTGAGCACAGGGAGAGATGGAAAGAGGAACTCACTGTAATTATGAAAACTCAGTGAGTTCCTCACTGTAGCTGATTTCTTTTTGTTGGGGTGGTGGCGCATTGGTGGGGAGCGCCTGGCCTGTTGCTCACTAGGGGAGCACAGCAGGCACAGAGCATAGCTGCACCACCTGCAAGGACCCTCTGCTTATCACTAAGCTGCTCAGCCAACCTGTCCTTATCAGCAGCCTCACAGAGTTTGGGATAAGGAGCCCTGGAGTGAGCATGAGAGCCAAACAGAGACCCTTCACGCAGAGTAGAAAGCATCAACAATAAGTTCCCAGAATTCAATCAATCCTTGAAAAAGAGCTAATCCAAAAATAAGTTTCACACAGTTTTTGTCTTTTCATTATGCACAATTCAATATTTTTACTGCTCTGTATCTCAGTTTAATTCTGATGGTAACATCAAGAAAAATTTCCAGTGTGAGCTCTAGTTTGAAATTTGAGGAGGAGATCAGCTCTTTTAAACCAGTGATATGGTATTTGCACACTTCCCTGGGTGTAATGGAGGAGCACACACAGAGCACATCAAGTCCCACCCAGGACAAACTTCCACCCCCATCTACTGGGAGAGACGCAAGCCTTTCCCTTACAAGTACCTGCTCTAACTGGGCGGGCTGAGGAAAATACAAAGATTGCCTGCAAGAAAGTCACCCTAACAACTGTCCTTCTTACTGAACTCCTAATATGAGCCTCACATTTTGTGTATAATCTTCCATTTGATTCTCACAACAATTCACATAATCTTCCATTTGACCCTCACAACAAATCGTCAAGGTAAGTATCATTATCCTCATTTTGCAGATGAAGAGTATATCATTCAGAGAAGTTACTATCTTTCCAAGGGTCACACAACTAGAAAGTGGCAGAGCTGAGGTTTGAAACCAGGTCTTTCTGATGCCCACTATGCAGATGCTCTCCACCTAGCCAAGTCCATTAATGTAAACAAGTAGGTGTTTCAGGTAAAAACACACAAAGTAACATTTTGGCCTCTGTAGGTAAGTCCTAGCATTTCCCTCTCCTGAGTAAGTGAAAAAATCATGCCTAAATTTAAATGCCAAGAACATCCATATTCCTTGTGTTGCCCATGTCAATAGCTCATTCTCTTCTGTGCCTGGTGGAATGTGGCATGAGTCAGGAATTTAGAGAGGACTGTTTATTGTGACTTAGTTGTGGAAATAGTAATTCAGGTATTTCCCTGCCTCTGTAGTTTCCTAATCCATCAGAAGATTCACCTAGCACATTTAGTCAACTGGAGATGCTTTTAAAAATATATTACAAATTGTTGCCTCAAATTCTTGGTAGAGAAGAAAAGGTATAAATTTATAATGTAATAAATACATTCCCCATTTATGGTTATTTTATACCCCTGGGTATCAAATGATGCCTCTCATGCACCCAGGCATGCAGAACATCTCTCCATAGATGACAAAGCTCAAATTATAAGTATGGGGCCTACAGAAGATTAAATAAGTGTTTATAAGACTGAACCTCAATAAGGGAGATATAGGAAACCTCGACATATATCCTTCCCCTCCCCCCAAAGATAAGATTGTTGGGAGGTCTGATTAATGAAAGTCACTGTCCTGTTAGTGGGGCTCACTAATTCTTGCCCTTCATGGAAAGTGCCAAAGACAGCTGCTTCTGGAAAATGAGAGCTGGCAAATGTGGAAATGAAGTTGAAATGCTGCAAAACTCAGATTTCCCCAGCGATGCAGTGGTTGGGACATGCAAAAGGGTTCTTCACTGAGTCCTTAGAATTACCAGGGAAATATTCCAGCAAGCTAATCCCAAATTCTCGACCAGCCTACTGGATCACAATGCTAGAGGTATAGGGTGACTGGATATGGAGTGTATATGTAAATTCCAAGTTGTGAGTTATTTTCTAAATAATAGAGATTATTAACATTTCAAAGTGAATTGAATGGCCTCCCCTCTCCCCCTTCCCACCCAAGGAATTTCACCTTAAATTTTCTCATTAATCCTTGCCCTGGGCCAGACTTTCAAAAAAATTATTTCAATGAGATCGTTAATGAATGTCATTTTTAAAGTCACAGGTATATATTGGGTAACTACTCTTTCAGATACCAACTGGGCTATATAAAATAATTGTTTCCTAAATAAATAGGTCTGTGTTTTTGCAGAGTTTTAGAAAATAACTGTTCAATTTGCTTACATGCATTTATGCTTTTATTTCTTAAATATCTTATATACCAAACCATTATCAGATAAACTTACAAGCACAGAGACAGTCACAACTTGAAGTTTAAAGGCAATAAAAAAATTTCTGTAAAACCTAAGGAATATACCCAAAGCAGTTTTAGTTAGGTCTTGGGGGATACAATTGGTTTTTAGAATATGTGAGGGAGGCTTTCCATGGCCTTTGAAATCCACAAGCACACAAACATGAATATCATTTAGCAGATGGATTTTCCTTTACTAGGGGAGCATAGCACCATGATTAAGGATAAATTTACAGTCAAACCAACCTCCATTTAGATCTCACCCTCCACGCCAGTTGTGTGATCTGGGAAAGGACTTCTCGGTGGTTCAGCCTGCAAAATGGGGTAATGGTATTATTCACAACCAAAAGGTTGTGGTGCAAATTTTGTGAAATGATCCATGCCAAACACTCAGCACTCTGCCTGGCACATGGTAAGCACTCAATAAATTTAAGCCATTAATAATAGACAGTAAAAAATATTTTTTAAAAATTGTTCTCACCTGTCAGTATTTTAACACTACCTATATTATTTGAGCAGAATGTCAAATTCAACATGTTAAAAATATTAAACTGGTAATGACAGTGAATGATGATACGGCAGATTAGCTAAGCATCCACCCACCACCCTCCCCACCATTAATGTAATGTGATTTAAAATTCCTAAGCTCCTTTGCCCTGGAGAAGGTGAGCTCAGCAGGCACCCAGTACCTTCACCATGAGTTACTTCACAAAGGCATGTATGCAACTTTCTTCAGAATTTCACCTCCCTTCTGAAATCCTAAGTCTCACCAGTCTCCCTCATAGTTCAAGATAACTGCTATTTGAACTTGATGCTAAAGTGTTTCCTGAATATTAACAGTTTTTGACCATCTGGAGTTCTTATCAAGAGTTTCAGACTGTTTCTTATTTCTATAGGGCAGCCTTTGACATTGTGAGCTGAGCCCCAGTCAAATGTGAGATCATATTCACATTTATCATGAGTTTTTTTCTTGGCTAAGAGTCATTCCTTTTTAAAATATTTCATTCCTCCATTAGCATTAAATGTGGATTTTCTTTGACCATGAAACAATGATCCCATTGGTTCAGATGCCCAGTAGAGGGTTGACCACTCTGAAACATGGAATCTGGTTCTCCAGCAGGCTCCCTTGCTCACTCGCACATTGATGGGCTCCGGCAGCCAGCCTTGCAGCCCACAGGCACCAGCTGCCCCCCTTGGGAAATTCACAGATTACCACATGTTATAGACCCTGGAAACATTTGAAGTCAGCAATTGTAAATCTGTCACTGCCAAAGATCTGCTACATAATTGGATATATTTTTCTCAGTGACTTTTCCCCACTGAATATGACAGTAAGAGTTATCGGTAAGACATAGGGACCCTTAAAGAGTGGAAATAAGAAACCAAAACAAGGGTATGAAATTATCACTGATCACTGCCACTAGGATCTCCTGTTGAATGCATCCCTATTTATAGTGTTCTCACTCTGCTCCTTATATGTCTGGGACTGTGGAAAGCCACTACAGGACTGTTCTACAGGAAACTAATGCAAGGGAAAATCATGGATTTGAACCCTATAAAGTTAGAAAGCTGGCCAGTCAGCGATCCTCATCTAGATCCTGCTTGACTGCTTCTAAACTTCAGACCAAGGACTATCCTACATAGCACTCTGCTTCCTTTTCTCAAACAATGATTGTGTGTTTGCCAGGCTGCACTCTGTGCATTGGGTTGCTAGAGATACAGTAGGTTGCACTGATGATTTAACTCTGTTTTCTATGAAGGGCGATGGGATCTCATGCAGATTTTTGCAAAGTCATATGCAAATCACAGAGCCCAGCCCTTTTCTTAACAGGATGGCAACCTTGCTCCTCGGTGGCACCTGGGACCTGGAGATCCTTTCTCCACTTACGTTTAGCGCGCAGCCTGGGACTTGTCCCTGCAGCTCTCCGGGTTAGCCGTGCCGCCGTTGGGACCTCCCACCTGGATTCCCATCACCCACCTCTCTTGAAACTGCTCTGGCAGGGCTGCTGTGGGGTACAGCCTTTGCTCAGAGGCATCATGTTCCAAGCAAAATCTGCCTGCCCCGGGCCATGGGCTCACCCCTCCAGGTTCCCTGCTTCTCTACTGGGTACAATTCAAGGTTACTGAGCTTCTCTCCAAAGTATAAAATGGTGGGACAGTAGGGACCTGTGAGAGGCCCCATGGCCCAGTGTACTACCCACCCGGCTCCCTATATGAATACTAGGCACCCCCAGGCCCCCGCTGAACTACAGGTCGGCATTGTGAATGGACAGGCTCATGAGTGGGAGGTACTTGTCTCTGGAGTTTTTCTCCTGGAGTTTTGAACATTTCTAAAACCAGTGGCCCCCAAACTGGAAAAACCTATTGTTCTAATCTAACTTGCTTCCTCCACATCTAAGAAAGAGGGAGGAAAAAGAACAGACAGGTCATGGATATGGTTATGGAAGATGAAAGTTAATTCTAGCTGTTCCCTAACATTGGCATTTCCCCCTCCAAATGTTCCATCTATGTTAGCCTACCCAAGTTTGTCACAATTTTCTAGCTCCTCCCTAACGTCACTCATTGCTTGGGTCTCTGGATCCAAGACCACCCTCCCAGCCTTCACTGGCTTTCAAATTACCCTGTGGGAGAAGAAATAAGTAAAACAAACTGGCCACATATTGATAATCATTAAGGCCAGTTGGGTGTGTGGGTGCTCATTATACCCTTCTCGCCACTTTTGTATATGTTTGCAATTTTTCATAATAAAAAGTTTAAAAAATAAAAGTCCTCCATCTCCCAAGATACTCAAGAGAGAATCCCAAGGCCTAACAACAAATTTCATGGAAACCCCACACCAAGGCAAGAGGCAAAGATGATTCCATTACATATATATATATATGTATATATGTATTCATTTTCTAATTTTTTTAAAGGGCCACTGCTTTATTTTCAATAGACTAAATCTTATTTCTAACAGTTCCCAAAGTTGGGCTTACTTCCCCCAGCTGGGTTATGGGGGAGGGCTGGGTAAAGGGTTCCTTAAAATCCTGAAAGTTTACACTTCAATGTATCTCACAATCTTTTTGTGAGGATGGGACTTGTTCAGTGTTCTGAACTTTGCCGAGGAAATGCGCTCGCGATTCAAAGTGTTGTTCTCTGGAATTGCACCTGGCTCAGGAAAGGACTGTCTTTGTACTTGAATTTACATCCAATGGAGAATCTTAACATGGGCATTTGCATGACTGAGAATTGCTGCTGTCTTTTTTCCATATGTCACTTTCTTGAATGTGTTCTAATAAAATGATTCTAAAGCAGGCTGTTGATATACAGTGATTTATAAATACTTTCTGTTGAGTGCTGAGGCCCTTAACTATCTGCCAAGAACCCACCCCATCTCAATCCCACTTTCTGGAAGGATCTGTCTAGCTGGGGACAGATGCAGTGAGGGCATGTCTAGCACGCCAGCAGCACCACCCCAGTTGCAGTCACTCGTAGGAGTCATGTCAACCCCAGCAATTTTGTCTTCTGGTTGCCTAGCAGCAGAATTTGTTTTCCAGAATAAAGATGGCCATATGTAGCAGATGAGTGTGGTGGGGGAAAGTGAAGGGAGCAGGACAGGAACAGAAGAGTGGGAGAGGAAGCAGGGTAGAAAGAGAGACAAAGGCAGCAGAAAATCAAGCCACCAAAGTTCAAATGCTTTCTTTTCAGTGATTACTCTCAGCATGTTCCAATGATAGAGTGTTAAATCTTATTTACAAAAGTGAACCTTTTGATATCAAGCCATAAGAAGTTACAAATCTCAAAATCTCATTTTGCAAATTGGAAGCAAATATATTTACTTGGGAGAAATTATGTATATATGTGTTTCCAAAGGCAGATATTTTAAGGAACACTTTTGATCCCACTTTCTACCCCCTTTTAACCTCGAACATTCCCATGAGCCAGTAACCAACACCTTAGGAAAGGAAGCATTATTAGAACTCTTGTAAGGGAAAGGGAAGGAGAAGCAGATGAGGAGGCTTCCATTTACTGGACACCTTTTTCTCACCCCATGCTGGGAAGACACTTGATAGGCTTTATCTCCTCTAATCTTCAGTGTCCTGAGAGGCAGGCAGTACTGGCTTCGTTTTCCAGAGGAGGAGGCTGAAGACAAGAAAAATAAATGACTGTACAAAATCACACTACTAGAAAATAGCAGATTTATGTTGCAAATTCAAATCTCTGATCCCCCAACCCAGACTTTTTCAAACACCACAGCTGCCCAGTGGCAGCTTAGATCCTCACTTTAGCGAATGGTGCAACTTCATTGTGCCCATAGGGAAGGGTGGGTGGACCAGAGCCAGCAACCTGCTGTTGTGTGATTGGAGATCCCTGCCAGGCCAGGGTCTTCACAACCCACATCCATAATATTATGGTCTCGTTGTGCAAAGCACTTGCTGATAAGGCTGAGATCACCTTTTCGTCTTCATAGGGATTTGCTCACTCAGCAAATACTTGAATGCTCCAAGTACTGGACATTATGAACTAGGTGGGTAAAAATAGTCCCTTTTCTCACAGAGCTTTTACTAGAGGAAACATATTAATCAGATAAAACATGATTAAATCTATAATTACAACTGGAAGGGACCTTGGAGATCATTGAGATCAACATATAAAGCTGAGACCCAGGTCTGCTTGTCCAAGATGATAAAGCAAATTAATGGCAGAATGAAGACCGGAACTCACAACTGATTTTTATTCTTAGTCTTATGGTCCCTTAGTTAGGGAGGGGCCATAGACTGGTATCTAACCCCAGCCAGCCATCTAAGCATGTTGATCCATCAGTACACTATTTTCATGCCTAGGAAAACCAGAGAGTGCATGTTGCAGTTACAATCAGAGCATACAGTGAACTGAACACCAAGGATGGCATTTCTCCTATCTCTCAGGTACCACAGTTGCTCATTTATTATTAGTTCAACAAATATTTATGGAGTTCCCATTGCCCTCATGGAGCATGCATTCCAGCAGGGGAGACACACTATAAACACAGTAAATAAGCAAGTAAAATAGTCGAAGATGATATATGAATCAAAAATAAGTCAAAAAAGGAAGATAAGGAGTACAAGTGGAGAGCTGATTAAAATATAGATTGCTGGGTCCGTTCCCAAGTCTATGCTTTGGTAGGCCTGGGGTAGCTCCAAGAATTTGCATTTGTAATAAATCGCAGGTAATGCTGATGTTCCACATCCACAGACCACACTGTGAGGGCCACTAGGTTAAGTTGTTGCAGCTGGAAGATAACTGGTAAGGTGAAGCTACCACCTGAGAAATGATGCATCTCTTCATAGGGGAAGCCACAGCCCCGACCACAAGCAGTGAGGAGTTAGGGCAAAGTCAGGTCATGAAAAGGTGGGGACAACAATTACTTCATTGCTTTTCTATCAGTGCTTTGCATTTTCATAGTATTTAATACTCTTACTAGTCCTTTTGCCTACTATCTCTCTTGACAAAGTTAGCCTGTTAGGTAGGCAGAGCAGGTATATTATTGCATTTTATAGATAAGAAAGCTTCAGCACAAGCAATTGTCTGACCTCCCTTGTGCACCCCAGTTGCTGTATGCTACTCACCGCCTTTCCCCATTTTGCTTGCTGTAGCTTTCCCCTGCACATCTATCCCTGAGTCATTAAAATCCAGGATACATAGTTGCTCTTTGCCTTTAGTTCTATTCAAAACCCCACTTGCTACAAATAGATTATCCATGTAGCAAGTACTAAGCCCTACATGAGTTTTTCCTGCCATACATTTCTCTTCTTCTATTACCAGGTATTGTACAGAGAAAATGTTAACTCATTTTAATATTAGCCTAAGCTAGAAATAATCATTATGAAAGCAAATATGGTAGGGGAAGAGCATACATAATACTTTCCAAAGCAAATAGTAATGACATTTTGATTATATGTACCATTGCTTCCATTGCATTAGTAGAGATAATTGAAAGTTTTCTGTATCACTAGAGCACACAACAAAATGAAAGTGGATTTTGTTACGTTTGATAACTGGTGAATCACATTCTTGGGTATTTAAGTATGCCAAAAACGAATCATGGACATAAAAGATAAAACCCTCCCTTCCAGTATTTGCCCTTCTGGTTATTTTTCTCCAGTCCTACACTGACTCATAGCAAGAGGGTTAGCTCTCCCAATGAATCTCACACCCAGTGACCCATGAGTTACAACCTACTCTCTTTCTCTTCAGCTCCAGTACTGCTTTTGACAATTCAGCAATCCAAGGTTTTAGAAACGTAATTTCTAAAACTACCCTCATCTGTCTCTCAATCCACTGACATTCTGATATCTTCCTCTGGTACTGCCATTTGAACCACTCCTTTCTTCAATATGCACTGCTTAAGCATTTACTGTGTACCCACGCCAGGATACAAAATAGGTTAGAAATAATCTTATCCTCACAGATATATGTGAGGATATATATATGTGAGATATATAATAGAATCACTTTGTGAGTTGTGTAGAAGGAATAACATTCAAGTATATTTTATAGGTGAACTATAAACCATGTGAACTTCTCCCCAGTTCATTCTCTGTACTCACGTTATACTCAAAGAAAGCTAGGTGATGAGTTGTTTGAGCTTAAACATAAATTAGGCATCATTAGGAAAGAAAATACAGCTGGAAGAAGAGAGGGGTGAGGATGGAGCACTACTGTGAGCACACATGGAGATGGCATCAGCAGCCCAGAGCGTAACGGGAGAAGCAGAGAATCTAATATCTGCTGTGGACTTTCTACATGTGGACTATGACTAATGGAATATATGAAGGTCATAAAGTTTGGGTGATTAGAACTTCCATATAGATGAAAGATTCAGTGCAAATAGGTATTTGCTGAACTTTAGACTCCAACATGTGCTATAAAAATCACTATTCCCTAAAACAGAATTCATGCCCACTGCAACACAGGTACTGAGCATATAAGAAAATTAGCTGGGCTGTGAGGGATGGTTTGGGATGCAGAGGATTTCATTACTTGGGTCTGTATTAGAGGATCCATGAGAAAGATACAGGACATGATCCAGCCATGTGGGTGTGTGCTTGCATGTACACATGTTCACGGGCACAGGATGTGTGTTCAAGATCAGTAGAAAGGATTTTATGAGGATGTGAGCCCTTTAAATAAATTCCAAATTCATAATCCAAAAAGGAAGACAAGTTTAGGAAACCAAAAATTACAGTAAAAAGTTAAGGATAAAATTAGTTCTGGTGACCAAGCGGCACAAGGAAGACACACCTTCCTCTTACATTGGGCCACCTGAATGTGTAGCAGCTTTCATTCCCTCAGCGACATAAAGGATCTGCCCAGATCCTGGCTCCCCTCTGCTTTAGGGAAGCCTTTATAAATAGTAGAATCCCCAGGCAGGACTCAGGGCACATAAACAGCAGGAGCTCAGATCTGAACATTTTCTCCTGCTCTGCAGGCTTGTCCTGGCCCTGGAGGGAGTTTTTGCAGCACAGGTGCTGCTATATCCAGATTTACCACCTATCAAGGATGCCAGTTGCCTGATAAGGTAGCCAGGTCTGCTGTGGAAGGGTGTTGTCATGGATAGTGGTAGCCACAGGGAGAATTTAGAGGACTCAGAAATAGCAGTGATCGAGGACAGAGTTTCTATGTATCTACCTTTAAGTTTCTGGGATGGTGGATTAAGGAATATTATTCCTTTTGTAAGGAGGTCTAGGGATTTAGTTGCCTGTCAGTGGTGGACTTTTGCCTAAGCATAGTGTGGAGGTCTCAGAGTTGGTTATGCAGAGTTTACCAGGTTGTTGTTATGACTTGCATCAGGGTAAAAGGAAGTAGTGGGGGTGGGGGAGGGAGTGGGGCTGTAATCATGTTGAGGTAGAAATAGGATTTACTTATCATTGGGGTAGTCCTCTCACTCTGAGAATGACCATAAGTATGGCATTCTAGGTGTTGCTCTGGTATCCACAGATTCATGAAGACTTGCCTGGACATCTTGACCCTCAAAGGAGCAAGTTGGTGACAGATTGATTTCAGGTTGACGAAATTCTCAATGGAATTAGGAGGCATTGTACTTCCCACACTCTCCTACATTCTCACTTGCTATTAAAGATGCTCACATATTGCTTAATTTTTTGGTATTTCTGGGACTGTCCAACCAACAAACATGTTGGAGAACCATAGATACCAACCTTAAGACAGGCCATCACAAATGATGGAAGAACTCTCTGTCCCTGCTGCAGGCCACACAGACAGGCTTAGAGATGGAATGTCATTAGGGAGTCCATGCAGGGTTGAATTATTTGATTGGTTGGTGTTGCAGAATATAAATGGTGATTTCCAGCTCACTGGCACAGCACAAGTTTACTTGAGGAGCCGGCAGGTGCATTGCCTTCTAGATAAGGCCATCAACACAGCATTTCTAACTTCTAGGGAATGAATTATTGAGAAATCAAGTGAAAAGTTAGCCCAGTGAGTATGATGTGTTACAAAGATGATTGCTTAGATCCTCACCTCATGCCAATTGCCATTATGCCCTAAACCTCAAATTTAGGGCAAATCTTCTAAATGATTTCTCCTGGGTTTATTGTCCATAAAAAGATACACATGCAAGCAGGTGGTGGTAGGGTAGGGCAACAGCAGGTTGAGATAGAATAGCATCAGTAGTTGCATCCGGTACATTGGTCTCTTTGGCAAATGTACATGGGGGAGGAATCTCAAGGTTTATGACCAAAGTAATGTGATTTCGTTCTAGGATCCCTTCAACTACCAGGTACATCCTTAGAGGCCAATGAAGGGTCAGTCATCCAATAACACACTACAATGGATATTGTTAATAATGGGCAATTCTCAATAAATATTAGATATCCATCATGTCACTTATTCAATAAATGTTTATTGAACACTTACTGCATGCCAGGCACTATTCTAGACAAGAATAATCACCAAAAACACCCAAACAGGAAAAAATTCCTATCCTCGAGGAGCCAATCTTTTGGTGAGACTATGAATGCCAGATGATGATACATGCTATAGAGAAAAGTTTTGGCTGCAAAAGGATGTAGGGTGTGCAGGGATGAAGGGGTTCCGGTGACTGACATAATCAGGGAAGCAAAGCATGATGAAATTGCTCTCCAGGCAGGTAGTGGTGATGAGGCTGTAAGTGCTGATGGAGAGGGAGGGGTGGGTGAGGTTTCTGCTAGGGGCACACACAAAGTTTTAGAAATATTTTTATTACACGCCCTCCCCAAGAGTGAAGACTTGGGGAGGAGTGGTTTCTTCTCAGATTAGGAAGGAGCTCTTAGGTAAGGTGCCCCCCCCCCCACTTCATGTCTCCAGTGGAACCAAGAAAGGGCCAGGAATATGCCCTAGAAGTCAAGTGTGACTCCCTCAACCTCCAGCTAGAATCAAAGGGAGCCTTTGTACTGCAGACTAACCTATGCTAGAGAAACCTGGACTTCACTCACGGTAATGAGAACCTCCCCTAGGGTGTGACCAAACATCCCTCAAAGTTCACAGTTGAGATTCTTTTTTTTTGTTTAAGATTTATTTATTTATGCATACAAGAGCTGGGGTATAGGCCAGAGATGTGGGGGGGTGGGTGAGAGGATTCACCAGAGACAGAGAGGGGAGCAGAACAGGATGATCCACTGAAATACATTGCTGAGGGGAGCAGCGGGCGAATCAGGAGAGGTCTGCTGCGCCATGTGGGTTGCTCCCTGGCCAGCCGGGGATCAAACTCATGCTGCAGAGGCTGTGGATTATTTCATGTTGCAGTGCTTAACCCTTTGCGCCACCAGGGAAGGCCGCACAGTTGAGATTCTTAAAAATAAATTAAGGTATGGTCCAAATATAAAATGAATCCAGGAACTAAGTTCATGCAATACGCAAGTCACAAATCTCTAGAAGCCCAGAGGGGCATTGCAGAGTCTTTTTTTTTTTTTTTTTTTTTGTCCTTAAAAAGTTGAAGATAGGAATTTCCTTTGGTTACTTCCCTTGATTCCCAGAGGACAGGGCTCTAATTCAGCTTGAGAAAGGCTCAGCAGCAACAGGAGGAGTAGTTTCCAACCATGTCAGCTTAGGCACAAACCCATTTCTAGCACAAAGGCAGAGAGAGTGTCCCAGTTCTCTTTGTCACGAACAGAACAGGGCCCCAGGAGAACCAGTAAAAAGATGCAGGAATTCAAGCTAGAACCTTGAGATAATAATTCATATGGAGTCTGTTCCTTGAGCCCAAGATATGTTCAACCTAGAGATCAGGAAGATGGCCCAGTGTAGTGGCAGTTAGGGCTCAGTGCAGGAGCTCTATGATGCGAGCAGACGGTAAAGGAGAGTCCTGGAGTCCTCTGTGGCCTTTTCAGCCTTTGTTTGGGATTTTACTAGGTACGGGCAGGCAGGGGTCCCAGGGGGGCTGGCAGGCCTCCCAGCCCCCGGCGAATCTTCACTCTTTCTGGTCTCTCTGGCGATCTCTCCTGGCCTCTGCTTCCCTGCTGGTTCTCTTCTAGTCTCTCCCTGGTCTCCTCCTGAGGGCACTCTGTTTCCGCTATACCTCCCTTTTAAGCCCCATCTCAGCCTAGGTGAACCCCACCTACGTGAGCCCCCTACTCCAGGTGCCCGCCATCAGGCATGCATTCAGGACCGCAGGGATCCATCATCAATCCTAGTGGCTGGAGGGCACAAAAGCCTGACAATCATTTACCCTACACCCAGTCACAGTTGCAGTGTAAATGTAGCTCCACAGCTTCCGCTTCCCTAAACTCCTCTTAGGACTCATTTAAAATGAGGCAGCAGACTTCTGAGTTAAGGAGAAACTAGATCTTCTCTCAGCTGCATCAGTTTGCCTTCAAGAGACAAGTTTTTGAGGCTGAAATAAAATCAGAGTACTTGCATGCAATCACACAAACACCCTCCCTTGCATCACATAATAGCCCCCATCAAATGCTAAGCCTTCTCTCTAGAGAGATATATTGCGAGACTAAGTCCAGAGAGTTGCCTGCCTATGGCTCTGTAGAAAATCAGTCTCAAGTGACATTGGTTAGCTCTCCGGAAAAGGGCTGCATGGGACAAGCTTGTTGCAGTTCAGGTTTTAGTTCAGAAGTCAGTAAACATAAAATAAGGCATCATGGCAAACAAAGTCATTCTCCGTGTGGCTCTGAGAAATCATTTGGTTATTTTCTGTTTTCTTGGATCAGCATGTGAGCTCAGCAAGGGGTTTCTGCCCGTGCCTGGTCTGGGTCAGCTGTCTCCTGGCCTTGATAAACAGGCCTTTTGGACTTTCCCTGATAAATTGGGAAAGCAATTGAAAATTAACAAAGAAACTCCATAATAATCAGAGGAGCAAGCGGAGAGTGGAAGCCTGGGTACACAGCCAGGTGTGGGAAACTCATGTGGTTAAGTTACTGGCAATTCAAAGAATCCTGATAAATGCCAACATTTTCCTTAACACATTTTATTAGCCACATATTAGTTTGTATGTGTACCACTTGACTTTCGGGGGCTCTGTAAATCATTTCAAATTAAGAATGGCAAGTGCGACAATTGAAAAGGAAAAGCACCTGAACCAGGAGAATAAATCCAACAGAGCACATGTCCCCAAATATGAAGCAATTGTTATGAGATGTTGCATTTGAGAAATGTTTCCCATTTGGTTTGCTTCACTGTGGTGGTTGCTGATAAGAAGGACTGAAGTTACAAAGAGTTGATTGAAAATGCACTTCCCTCTGCTATGACCCACCCCCATGCCCATCATTCTCATTAAGCTTTTCTGAAGCCCCGGAAATAAAAATGTGAGAATTGATGTGTTGTGAGTCAACCCAAGAACGGTCAACAGTGGGTTCAGAGGCCAATCCTCTGGTAGCTGGTGAAGCTGACCTTCAGCTTGATTATAACTGAGCTTTAAGCCTTCCAGAAGTACACAGGAGGAATGTAAAAGGTGGTCCTCGACTACAAGGATTGCATTGTCCAGTTGGAAAGAGGAAATATAAATACTCAAAAAGCAACAATCACACAATAGGCTAGGAATAGCTTTTAACATTAGACTGAGAGATCCAAAAACTGGAATGATCTAGCTTCTTCCTTTGTGTCTCTATCCAACACCAAGGATGAGTCCATGGCATGAATGGCAGTAATCTTCAGCTTGTTTTTAAAAACTGAGAAATGGGGCCTCCCCAGTGGCGCAGAGGTTGAGCGCTGGGTTGCGAAGCTGCCCGCAGCCTCTGCGGCGCTGGTTCGATCCCCGGCTGCTGCCCGGCCACCTGAGGAGGGTCCCGCTTGGCGCGCAGACCTCTCCTGCCGCCCGCTGCTCCCCTCAGCAGTGTACTTCGGTCCTTCTGCCTGCTCTGCTCCCCGCTCTGGCTCTGGTGAATTCTCTCACCCTCCCGCACTTCTGACTGTACCCACCCAGTGCATGTATAAACAAAACAAACAAACAAATAAATAAATAAAAACATGCCTCTATTAAAAAATAAATAAATAAATAAATAAATAAATAAAAACTGAGAAATGGAGAGAGAGCATAGTGGACTATGGTGGTGGACTATGGG